TAAGACAAAAAGATGGTTAAGCAACTTGCCCTCCTAGGCTGGGCAGGGCCAGAGTGCTCCTTCCCTGGCATCTCCCGGGTGAAGTCAACAGAGGACCCCAGACATTTGTAAAAGGCAGCCACCCCTGGAAAGCGCTGACATCCTGCGTGGTTCTGTGGCTCCACTATGGAGCAGTCGCAGGGCTCCCCGCATCTCCCCCTTGGGCCTGGCTTTCTCCAGTCCACACCCCTAGCCTGCTAGCGAACTTGTCATTTCCTCTGGGGCTCCCCTGAGAAACCACCATCACCGCCAGGCAGGCTGCCCACATGCAAGAGCCTAAAGCCAGCAGAACAGCTTGCAAGAGTCAAAAGTGGATCCAAGGTACCAAGCCAGGCAACGAGTGTGACAAACCAGTGATTTGATACACATCGAAGTACTAATCAGGCAGAATTTATGAAATCAGGACTAGAAAATCCAGTACCTATGGAGATGTGACTTGCTCTAAGCTCTGGAATATCAAGCCCTCTGTGACCTGTGGAGACACCTGGGACAAGAAGGAAAATGCTCCTCTTCCTTCCTCACCCTCCTCTTCCTCCTCCTCACCCTCCTCCTCTTCTCCACACCCAGCCTACTCAAAGCTCTTGGAAGTATGGTAAGCACCCCGCTCTTGGCACATACAGACGCTGCCCACCCAGGACTCTGTCCTTCACGGGACCTCTCAAAGGGTTTCAACTGAACGTCATCCCAACGTGTGCTGGATGGGAGGACAGAGGTGCATTGCAGTCATCCCTGTCCTGTCTCACCGTGAAGGTCTCAAGGACCAGGCGAGGGTGCTGGCTCTGTGGAGGCAAGAGTGACATGGGTGATGGTGAGCCAGGTGCGCTGAAGCACATCTGTGAAACCAGCTACTTGGACAGCCGAGTAGATCCCAAATTCAAGGCCTGCCTAGGAAAGACCCTGTCTCCAAGGAAAACATGAAAAAAGGGCTGAGGGTGTAGCTTAGTAGCAGAGCACTTGTCCAGCATGAATGGCCCTCTGGGCTTGATCTCGAGCACCAGCACCACCACCACCACCACCAAAAAACCAAAAATCAAAGACAGTGTCACCATCCCTGGCCATTACCCCTTTACTGATTAAATTGCTTATGCCACTGAGCTATCTTCCCGGCCCCCCACCATACCCATTTTGCTTTGTCTATTTGCTCAGGTTTTGTCCACTAAGGTAATCTCAGCTCAGATGAAGAACCCAATCCCAGCTGGGTTCTTTTTCCTTGGGGAAAAGTCCAAACTCATCATTGTCACAAAATAATACCTGGCTATCCCTCAGGTAAAAGTTCTGGATTTCTTTTGTCCATCCAGAGAGCCAGAGTGCTCCTCTTCCTCTTGCAGGAGGAGGCCTGACTTCTCTGAAGTTATTTTCTTCCACATAGTCGACTTGGGCAGTGCGTGGAAGGAGTGGTGCACTGTCAGGCCCACTGTCCTGACAAGCTCCCGCTGGGAACCATGGCCAATTTCTGTGGTGTAAATATTCTTACCTTGGCTAACCTCAAGTGACCACTGGGAACATTTGTTTGCACTTAAAAAAAAAAAGATTTATTTTTTAAATTAAATTTATTCATATACATAATGATCACATTCCTCATAGGGAATTTGTACTTGTGTATGATTTATCTTTACTCTTTTCTCCCCCATTCCCTTCCCTTCCATTCCACCCCTCTTTCCCTCCTTATTGCAAAAGCTTTGTTTCCACTTTTTCTTCTTTTGTCCCTTTTCCCCCTTTTTTTCTTTCCCTCTTCTCCTCCCAGTTCCCCTTCCCATTTGAACATCATCTTATTTCATAATACCTATTACACCTATTGTACAGTTTGGTCCTAATTTATACTTTCAGTTTCTCACATCAGAGAGATCATGTGGTATTTATACACATGTATCTGATTTATTTCACTTGAGTATGGTCTCATGGTGCATCTATTTACCGAGAAATGTCTCAAACTTATCCTCCTTTGTGGTTAAGTACTACTCTATTGTATATATATTAAAAAATCCACATGTTTATCCATGCACTATTGACGGGATGTTTCTAAGATTTAGCTGTAACAAACTGTATCCCTATAAATATGGATGTGTGGGTGAGTGTACATCGCTGTGGTATGATGCTTTAAATTTTTTTTCAGGAAAATACAAGAGCAGGGATAGGTGGGTCACATGGAACTTAATGTTTTAGTTTTTTTGTTTTTTTTAAAAAAGCTTTTATATATTTCTTTATTTGGTACAGAGTCTCACTACACAGCTCAGATCCATAGCAATTCTCCTATCTCAGCCTCCTCAGAGCTGAGATTACAGGCATGAGCCACTGTGCCCAGTTTCCGTGGCTGGCATGGCACACCTGAGCTTCTGGGGCTGGCACAACATGTGGCACCAGGGCTCAAACATGGGTTCTTGTGCTTGCCAGGCAGGTGCCTAGACCGCTGAGCTCTTTCCCCAGCCCTCTAGTTTCAGTTTTTGGAGGCATCTCCACACTGATTTCCACAGTGGTTACACCAGTCTATACTCTCACCAGCAGTGGAAAAGGGTTCCTTTTGCCTCACAGCCCCTCCAGAATTGGCTATTGGTTGATTTCTTAATAGGAGCCATTTTTCCAGGAGGAGATGGAATCTCAGAGTCATTTTAATTTGCATCTCTCGAATGACCAGTGATGTTGACAGTGTTTCACATTTATTTGATACTTCAACTTCTTTATCTGAGAAATGTCTATTCATCTTAGATGCCCATTTTTGAATTGGGTCTTTAAGTTTGGGGCGTCTGGTTTTGTTGAGTTCTTTATATATGCTAGGACCTAGAATAGATCCTAAATCTTAGATATAGAATATATGATGGATCTAGGTCCTAGGTCTAGATTCAAGAATTTGCTTCATGAGCTGCCCCTGGCCAGCCCCAGCACACTGCTGCCTGGAGGACCTAGACGTTCGCTGAACATTCATTAAGGGCATCCAGGCAGTACCCTGTTCCTCCAGGTGAGGAGGTACCCGTCCTCTTCCCACTTACGCTGGGCTTAAGCCATATGGCATTTAAGTATGACTGAGGCCCAGCAGGCTTGTCAGATTTAGCAAATAAAAATATAGGAGGCTTAGCTACATTAGAATTTCAGCCACATATTTATTTTAGTATATTCCCAATGATTTTAGGGGCCATCCTAATGCTAAGAGAGCTATTTATTGTTCATCAGAAGTTCTAACGTAACTGGGCAGGGGAGATGGAACAGCTGCGCAGGGCTTGGGTTTTATCTGCTGACTCCAGCTCCCCAGAGGGAATGAATATTCATGTAGTTCTTGTGAACGGACAGGAGTGCTGAGCATGTGATTGTAGGTTGGGAGCTGACAATGCACATCTGTCCTGTCTGCTGTCAGAATCTAAAGAGTCACACTTGTGCGTCCCACTGCAGCTGTAGCCTGGGCGTGGGGACTCTAGAAACTCAAAGGCATCCCAAGGCCCGACACCTTAGCTTTGCAAATAAGCAAATAGGGTGATTTGCTTCAGATCATGCTGTTAGCAGCAGCGTCAAGGTGAGAATTCGTGATTCAGAACTCCGTGGGTTCCCCTCCTTCTACCCCATACAATCTCATCTGAGAGTTAAGAGTCTGAGGTTAAGGGTAGTCTCTGTGCTCAGAGTGTCCTGAGTTCAAATTCTGGCTCTGGCAGTTACTAGTGATATGACAGAGGGTCTTCTCTCTTTAAGCCTCATCTTTTAACCTTTAAAGCGGGGATTAAATGAGTGAGCAGTGGAAAGTACTAGAAAAGTACCTGGCCCACACTGATGCCTGTACTGCAATCTGGGCCCTAGAAAAACCTCTTCCATTTCTCTGACACCAATCGTATCTATACCCACAGCACCCGGGTTCTGAACTCCAGGCCTGGACTATTTGTGAACCTCATTCTGCTGTGCTTCTTGATGTCTGCCCCACTGTCCCTGGCTGCCCAGGTCCCCTCTGTCCACCTGAGTCACCTAAGAGGCAGGAATTAGCTCTTTGGCTGTCACCTGTCATGGCCAGAGTCAGCACACACCATGCACCCAGCACTGAGCTTGGGTCCGGCCTCTTACAACAGTGGAACTTAAGGCACAGTCCTCTTCACGGGCCTTGGGGGTCTCTACCTGTGAAATGGGTACAGCGATGCCTTCCTCACTATGTCATGATGTAAGTAAGGCAAGCTTGGAAGAGCTCCTGGTGCCAAGGAGCTCCCCTGTCAATTCTCAATTAGTGAAACATCCTCATCCTTTCATACCGCTTGCCAGGCCAGCCTCTGCCAACACGGGACATCCCCCTGGCAACCCACCTGGGACAGGAGCTGCAACAGCAGACAGACACAGCTGTGAGCCCGGGGCTGTGGCTCCCCCCGAACCCCCTCCCCCTCAGTGCGCTTGCCCCAGTCAGCACTGGAGCCCCGTGAGCTCGCCCCTTTTTGTCTGAGAGTCAGAAATGGTGTTGTTTGGCATGAAGGTTGTTTTTGTTTCATTTTGCATTATAAACAGAACACTCCCTGGTGTCTCTTCTGAAAGGCCGGAGGAAGCTGAGTCAGGTGGGGTGTGGTGAACGTGAAATTGGTCACCCTCTCCTCGCCAAGGGTTTGGCTTACCCAGTCCCTACACCCGGCCTTGCCCATCAGTCACACTTGGGATCACTTTTTATGCTTGTTTCTCTAATGGCACACACATACCAAAAAAAAAAAAAAAAAATCATCCACAGCTTTCTTTTGCAGTACAGCATGGTATGCTGGGAAAAAGCAAGGGCCGGGGAGGCCCCAGCCTGGGTTGGAATTCTTGTCCCATTATCACTCAGTAACTGCGGGGAAGATTGGGTAATCTGGGAATGGTGGAGCCCGGCTCTCACCCACCTAGTGGCAGTGGTGCCTGTTTTATAGCATTATGAGGAGGCTTAGAGCTAATGAATGTGAAGCTGGTGGAAAAGCACCGTGGAACTGCCTTGTCCTCACGGCACCGTAACACCACACTCTCTTCCCTTTCAGAATGATGTCCCAGGCCCTGGGTCCTACAACGTTATCCACCAGTCTCCAGTGTTCAGCAGTGTCTCACTGTCCAGGAAAGGGACCTGCACTTTTCCTTCTGTGGTGAGAGCTCGCCCCTTAAGCAACTGATCAGTCATTTCCTCCAATCACACACTGCAGTCCTTTCTCTCCAAAGGCCTGTGGTTCTAATTGAGAGAGCAGCCACCTCCTGAAACCCCATGCACGTAAATTCCACTGGTGGGAAGACAAGCTAGAGGAGTACCCAGGCCTCAGTGACCCAAACCCATTTTGTCATCACTGAGAGATGAAGCCAACATCTTCCCGATAATTGTAGGCATGCCAGGGAAATACTGCTCTTACAGTATCCTGCCCTAATAGCAGTTTTACCCTTGCTTCATTTAACTGAGCTGTTCGAACTATTGAGAAGTCTGAAAAGAAAACAGGCATGGGCAGGGAGATAGCTCAGTAGAATAAACACCTGCCTGGCAAGTGCAAGGTTCTGAGTTCAATCCCTGGTACAG